ATAGCCGAGCGTGTAGCTAGTCAGCGCGTGCCGAGGGCGAGCTTCTACAGTTCTTTTCCAACGTGCATTCCGCACCATCAAGGTTACCGGTCTTGGGAACCTATAAGTGGGAGTTCGTTCCGAGCATGCTCAGTGAAAAGTGCACTCAAGCGCAAGGTGATTGCTTTGATAACATCACGGCGTCTCGAGATCCTCGAGTGTGCACGTGCAGCCAAAGCAAGGCGGAAAGCAACGAGAGCAAGCAGGATGGCGGTCCTCCACCAGAAAGAACGTGCTGTTCTCATCCTGTCAGAGACTATGCATGACTTGCACTTACGTCACAGCACCTGCCATAGTGCTGGCCTTGCTGCTGAGCCCGCTTACAAGTTTTGGAGCGTGCATTTTGTGCCCTACTAAATTTGTCCTCCTCTGCAAAAGCAGGTAGGAATGATCAACAGCATGTTACGATGACGTCCCGTGCAAGACATGCGTAGTGAAGAGTGTCTCGAGTGACCACGTGGCGTGAGGCCCCCGCACTGAATTGTCCCATGGGGATGACACGTTGCAGACGACCCTTCCGGAAACTGGATGCGGCGACCGGTGTCTGTCCAGGCGACCGAGTGCCGCGCCCCTTGAGGTTGGAGGGGAACGCGGACATCGCGTGTTGGTGGGTGGATATCGATCGCCGGATACCTGGAAAAGCGGCTGGTCCCTCCATTCATCTAGAATAGTGCGAGTTGCGACGGCGGGGCACGCGCGTGCAGGCCGATCGTTTTGCAGCTGCGGATTGCTTCTTTATTTTTTTTAGCAGTAAGTGAACTTGCAGCAGATTTTTTTTCTTTGTGGCAATGGTACATATTGAATTGTACCCTTGTTGGGCAGCATCCCCAATCACGTGATCGGATTACATCTGGAAGTTGATGGCAGAGAGGCGTGGCAGCACGTCAAGTGCGGATATAGCCGCCGAACATCTACCGGACAGGCTGTGCTATAGACAAATATTTTACTTGGTCTAGAATAAAAAACAACAAAAAAACTACTGTGGAATATATATTTATATATCTTTTTTTGCGGAATTTGCCGCTTATAAGGGCTACGCTCATATTTGTATCAGAAAATAAAAGACAAAGAAATAAATTATGCTGACACGCACTAAAATGGTTATCAAAGTGTGCAGTGCGGTTGAATGCTATCAGACTTAAAATAGCTTGCCCTATATGAGGCAGTTTCGTACTGATCATAATCTAAAGTTGACGATATAACCGGCGGTGATAATTTCTCCAAAAATAAAATTTGTGTCCGAAATATACGTAATTGAAAGACCACGTGGAAGAGCATGGCGTGTTGTTGCGTACTAAGCAGAAACTATGTATAGTTTGTTGCGGCTTTAGAATAGCAGCTGGAGCCCTTTTCACAAAGCCCTGTTCTCGCCATGACATGTAATTTCCTCGCCTCCACCCTCCTCCTCTCCAGGTTTGCTCCGCTAAATTGGAAAGAGTGTAGGACTTTCGGGGACGAGTTTGCAGCGCTTTTCTCAACAAACTATGCATACACTTGGGGAGACAGAACTATGCTTGATGATGGTGCATGCGCATGAACCATTGGCAAATGTAAGTAACACCACAGCAACAACATAATAGCGAAGCCAACTAATTAATGTAGGGGCTATTCAACTGTCAGTGAATGAGCCTTTCAGCCTTTTCTCAAGTCCAAGATTTAAGAAAAGGCTCACACCATCCCAAAACTATATCAGGCTGCTCTCTGAGAATACTCGTGTCTACTTTTCAGGAAAGCACGTGAAAGGGTCAATCGCTGCAATCCACGGATGAAGATAGTCGAAGGACAAGGCTAAAAATATGTTACTCCCCCCTTCTTTTTAAGGAAAAAAAAAAAAAAGAAGAGATCTATAGCTTGCGCTGTGGTATTGAGCATGATGTTTCACGCGATCACGTCGTTCTCAGTGACGGTTACAACTCAGACCGCTTTTCTTTTTATAGGTCCAGACATATCTGAGTCTCGTGATTCGCCGAGATTCGTCCTTAGTACATGGTGATCAAAAACAGCTCAAAAGACAAGGACAAAAGAGGAACATGCACGACAGGGCAAGTACTTTTGCCCTTGTCCTTTCCGTTGTTTTTGATCACCATGTACAATAACTACCAACTAGCTCAGCTTTCACCTTCTTCCTTCGTAGACTGCAGCGATTAGATCTGTAATCCCGAGTGCTCTGCAGGGAAGTAGATGGACGACATTTTTTTTAGAGTGCATGAAAATAACGACTACGCGAAAAGCGTTATTAGGAGAAACTCTGGCGTCCACTTAGCACGTTCACCGACGCTAACTGCCGAATCAAATTGGCAAACCGAAAGTGGCATGCGCGCCGTAAAAGAAGAAGCCGTTCATTACGAGATACATCAACGTATAACAAACCAAACTTAAAGGCAGCGACTAAGACGCTATAGCTTTCCCACTCTCCAAGGGCCCCAGAGCGACAGTTTGACCGATCGCCAGATCGTGTCTCGACCATAAAACAACATCGCCAAGATAAAAGACGAACAACAAACAACAAACAACCAAACGACCGAAACAAAACCAAAGACAAGTAGCTATCGCTACGTGCTCCAGGCAGAGCTGTTGGTATACTCTGTTCGATCTTACGATGGACCAAAGGGGACGTTACGTGCTGTCGAAGCCAATCCAATCCAACGGCGTGTGTCACAATAGAGAGGAGCGCAGCGACTTGCGACGTGGTCACGTGATATTGTTCAGAGTGCTGGATTGGCTAGGGATGGCTCGTAACGTCCTCCGCGCTGCGTCGTAAGGTGTAATCGGGTATAGACAGCCTTCGGTCGCATTCTTCCAAGGTGCGATCCGAGGTCCATGGTTGGTTCTAGGATTCGCCGCGGCAGAGTCGCCGTGAATCGATAAAACCAGTTTTCTTTTCTCCGTTGAACCCCGTGGAGTGAGATAGACGTCTGCTGCTCATTGAGACCCGCAGAGCGGAGGGTGCTGCTGCGTGATACGGACGGTAATGCTTATTTATACATGACCCCCTACTGACATGTGTTATCAAATCAGATCACGTGGTGGCGTCCAAGTGCGCGATTGGTCGCAGGTTTTGACAGGAAGATCCTCCCCTGCCGCCGCGGATTATTTCCACTTGATCGGTGATCGGATAGCCATCTGACGGTAAAAGTTGAAAACCAATTCACGTTGCGACTTGTAAAAAAAAAAAAAATAATAATAACAAAAAAATAATAGTAAAAAAATAACACAACAACGACACAAACTAGTATTGTTCGGTTTCTATCGAACCAACCCTTTAATTACAAAAACGAACCTGTACATGCTCTTTCTTGCCTATACACGCTCTTTCTTGCAAGTGCGCTGTGCGTCTACTTTCCCGCAGTGCACTAGGAGAGCCAATGACCGCAATGTACAGACTGAGCTCGACGAATCAAAAAGCCGTGTCTTTAAACCCAAAAATGGGGTATGCGATGTGGCGCTGAACATGACGTGAAACATCATGCTCAATGTTTCAACGCAGACCCACTTTTGGATCTAAGCAGTTTAGGCAGCGTCATATGATGGCTGAAAACAAAGTTCTACATCAGTCGTCGAGCTCTCTTCGTTGATCGCGGTGGTTGGTTCTTTGCGCTCTCTGCGAAAAGAAAAGCTATACAAACCATTTTTAAGAATGTGACAGTTCCAATTAGGTTCTGCCTGCACTGTCAGCCCATCAGGAAGCCAAGACATAAAACCTCCTGCTATTAGTGTTTGAACGGTTATAGGTTATTTACACCGTCTTCCTAAAGTCACCTCATATTTTCATGCTTCATTCTTCATGTAATGTTGTGTCTAATTAGTTTCTGCAGAAAATTGCACCCGAAATAAAATGGCTCGATTTTTTTTTTTTTTTTTTCTTTAAGGCCACAGTTTTTGAGACAAGAGCGTTCTTTAATGAACTAGCAAGAGCTCCGGAGCCGAACGAACTCCGTCTGGTCTTCTCGGGTCATTTCCCGCCGGGGTTCCCACCGCGACTTTGGGAAGTGGCTGATACGCTCGGAGAGGGCCGACCGAGACCACTTCTCCGAACCCCCCTCCCCGCCCACCACACGTCGACGAAGCCACCCCGCATCGCGTCACTCGCGGCACCACTTTCAGAGAGCCGACGAGCATGACTCGTCGTCGCCAGCCCGGTTCGTTCTTAACTCGGTTGAGCGAGATTCAATTGCGTCTTGTTGTTTTGTGTTGTTTCGACGTGTTCCGCGGGCAACATGAGCTGAAACAACTCTTCATGATTCTTGGGCTTTCCTGCCAGTTTTAAAGTTTATTTCAAACAAGACTTGGAACGCGAAGCTCAATCTTTGTACTCTTTAACAATTAGGCATAGTGAATGTCCAGATAAAATGCCTCAGTAAATTTTATTATTTTTTTTTTGGGGGGGGGGGGGGGGGGTAGAGGGAGGGGTTACTGCGTAGGGGGCAGAAATGGTGGTCTGGGGTCCGGCAAAGTCTTTCACCCCCCCCCTCTAGGGGACCCCCCCCCCCCCCCTCTATCTAGAGGATTTAAAGAAGGGGGGGAGCGGGGGGAGGGGGGGGGGGAAAGGCGGCCCCCTCTAAATCCGCCCATGCTAGCTTGAGGGGTACGCGCTCTCGCTTGACCGCCCGCTCGCATACTTTACCAGAATACCCATTTTGAGCCGTTGTTTGGAAACTTTGGACATTCTAACTCATTGAACGTTTTAACATGGTGGAGTCTTTAACTAGATCGGTGGAATTTTTGACTCCTTGGAAATTTTGAGTTGTTGGATATCCTGCATCGGCGGACATTTTGACCCCTTTGGACATTTTGTCTCAGTGGACTTTTTGACCTCATGCACGGTTTCGGCAGGGCGTTAACGAGAATGCTATTATGGCAACCTCATGCTTTGAGAGTATTGTTGCTGTTGCTGGCCATGCCCTCCGTTTATTACTACAATCTCATGTACAATAATACAATAAAGAATAAATAAAACTCACGGGTAGACGTGAGGTTTGCAACAGTTGGCTCGGTTGAAACCGTCGTAGTCGTTTCGGGGACTACCGCCGCCAAAGATGATGATGACCCGAAGAGTACCAGGATCAAGAGTGCGGTCTCGAATCGGGGCAGCCGGCCGCGGGCTACGGCACCCTTGCGCATCCCGGCCGGCCACCCCCGAAGTTGTCCCTGCCCTGCCCGCCCCTTCAATGTAGGGGCTCCCCGGGGGATCCTCGGCGGGGTTCACCGGGGACAAAAGCTCCGGGTGGGGTTGCCCCCCGTAGCGCTGTCCCCCGCCGAAACAGCAGCACTTCCTCGTTGCCTGTGGAGGAGGGCCGTGGATGCCTCGCTCCGTCTGAAGTAGGGACGTCTGTTGCTCTCTGGTTTCTTTTTCGAGGCCATGTCTCTGGCTGCCGACTCAGGAATGCCTGCAAATAAAATGACAGCCACATCAGACAGGCTGCGATGACATGTGAATTACAGTATGTTTTTCGGTCAGTCGCCTGTAGTTTCGATCTTGCGACACAATGTAGACATATACGGTCGTGTGGTCGACTCGGTAGCTCCGAGGCAAGGCGTCGGCCAACGTATCCACAGTTGACGGGTTCGAATCCCTACCGATCTGCCCGCAATCTGACCGAGGCTTTTTACGAAAAAGGCGCCACGTAACTGAGACTTGGGTTGCACATCAAAAGATCCCGAGGTGGTCCAAATTAGTCCTCAGACTTTTGTTTAAGCGTGTCAAAGGACCCTCGCTGGTTTTATGATTTTTTATTCTTTATTTCGGTCTATTCAGACAATACATTTTGTCTGCAGTACCAAGGCAAAAAACAAGAAGGACTGACAAGGTCTCGGTGCCGCTACATAAATGAAATATTAAAGATACAATGAAACTCGTCGACAGCAGAGCACACTAAAACAAGAAGCGCTCTTAAACAAAATATAATGAATAACAAAATATACATATCAATGACATTTCTATAGTACACATTTTTGATACTACAAAAAACTATACTATAATACGACAAAGCAAGGAAGCATGCAAAAAAAAAAAATAAAACAGAGATAGCAAAGAGGATAAAATCAGATTTTTCAGATCACTTTGTTACATTTGTGGGCAACAGAGCTCCTTTCACTATGCCTTGTATGCGTTTAGTGATATTTTTGACGTAATAAGTGTATTAAGATAACTGTGTGTATTAGGGAAGTCTGGAATTTGAAATGATAGTATTTTTATGCTCATGTTTTTCCTGATTTTGGGGAGTATATACTTGTCATTTCGAATGTTGTAATGGTGGTCGGGACTAGTGCATGCAGATGGATAGCTCGGTTGTTGAAGTCTATGGTCATGGAATGTGTAGAGTGCAAGCTTATAAATGTAGAGTTGTTCAAAGCTCCAAATTTTATACTTCTCAAAAAGCGGAGCTGTATGCGCATCATAAGCAGAATTGCGCATTAGACGAACAGCTTTTTTTTTTCTTTTGTAATAAATGCAGATGTGTGATATTTGTCTTTGTTATCTGACCCCAGACAAGAAAGCAGAAGTAAACCTTGGTATATATCAGCGCATAATATAGTTGGTACTTCAGCCATTCCAGTAAAAGATGCTTTTCACATGAAATTTGGCCTATTGATTTTGAGATTTCGTTTCGCATTTTATTTACATGGTGTGTCCGATTGAGGCGTTCGTTAAACTACACTCCAATAAACTTATCGACACGGTCAATTAGGGCTCTTTCTAACTGCAGTTAAATATGTGTATTGTGGTTGCGATTTATTGAGGAAAAAATTACATATTTTATCTTTTTTGTATTTAGAGATAAACCGTTAGCCACCAGCCAGGATGAAAGTTCACTTAAATTATTTGTTTATTCTGGAACGCAATACCCAAAGTTTGGTTTGGTCAGTGACGTGGACTGTATGTAGTCAATCGATGTGACGAGCTAGCACCAAATCTACTAAAAGTTTGGACAACCGTCTCAGGTTTGATTCCAATGAGAACAATGACCAGTTCGATTCATTCTTAATGGAACACTTAAAGGGCGAAGCTGTGAAAGCACAGTCACGCGCAACAGCGTTCATTGCATTAAAAATTGAGCTAGAAAGTGGTGATCAAATCAGTAACCAATGAAATGTTTACAGAAGCAACTAAATCCACGTGTTTACTGTTGGACTAAGCTAATATGTGAGATTAGGGTGCCCGTTTGCTCGTCTGCACCTTGAAACCTTGGTTTCTAGATACAGGCGCACAAAACACAGGGGTGCACCCGCACAAAGTAAAGAAGATTGACGCCAGAACATGAATGTGCTTAATAAATGCACGCATAAGACGCATACACGACGGTAGAACACTAATAAAATAAGAACAGACGCAGGAATTCACCAAAATCCCAACAAGAGATTTTCAAATAAAAACCCTCTTTGCGAAACGATAAAATCCTCGTTCATTACACTGTGCAGCCACCAAGCCGCGCCCCGGCACTGAACAGAGCGGCAGCTTGCGCTCCGAAGCCGCGAAACTCTCGTTGTCATGATATACGAGCGATCCGTGCTTGCAACGGCAAGTGCTCTATACCCATCTTTGAGTTTTTGCTGAATCCCCCAATTGTCATAAAAAGAGCACAGATGCACTTGTGCAAATAACGGAAATAGTCGTTAGAAAATGGAAAAAAAAAAAAGAAAAAGTAGCTGGCAGAACAAGCCTCATTCGCGAAGTCGTTAACGGTGCTGCTTCTGAACGACGAGCTGCTCCCTTGGGGGTGCTAGTAAATCACAGCAGCCCTGGGGAACTTTGCACACGCAGTCGAGATTAGAGTCTCTGCTCGTATAAACGCTCCCTTACAACTTACAAGCGGCGAGTGTTGCTCAAAGAAACCTCCGCAAAACCGTATTTCGTCGTTTCAGTGTCACGCACTGCGCCACAAGAAAGAGTCCCACGTTCTCGGTAGATGTCTGTATTTCAGTTCCTAAGCGTGGTTGGAAAGTACAGTTCCATAACACAAAAAAAGCACTGAGAGATTTTCTGAAGTCCCGGGCTCCAGACATAGTACCTTTACGCTGTAAAACATGCTTCATCCCCGAAATGTTTACCGTTTCTCTCTTTTACAACGTAACAAACTTTAACCAGCCGCTGGTTAATTCATGCACATTGCTTCTACTAAGCGTCAGCTGTTACTGTTGCGCAGTCAACATTAATTTGCATAGTAGGCACAAGCAGACGGATGACGTTACTGACGCCTCTCAGCCGACCACGAAGAGGCGAGTTGATCGAAGCTTTTCGTGTAGCTCTGGCTACGAGTCCTCTTTGTATTCACTAGTACCGAGCATCTAATTATCGCTTCGTAGCCAATCAGGTTGTGGCATTAGCTGGTGAGAACGCCGAAGCACGAATCATAAAGCGGGAGGCGTGATCATAATACGCCCCGCCCTGCGTTCTTTAAGCTGTCATTAGCTATAGAATGTCATTTGCATGTTCCAGTGTCCGAAGCAGGCTATTGACATCAGTATCTCAACCAATCACAAAAAGATGAGTCGGGCGAAATTTTTTAGTGAAGCCTTCACTGCGAGTCCTCATAGAATATATGACATTTGTGTGTCACAATCTCAGAAAAAGACTGATGACTTCACAGAGAAGCTTTTGGCGAAGTCTTCATTGTAGATACTCGAAAATATATAAGATTTGTATGTCGAAATGTCCGAAGTAAACTGATGACTTCATGCGGCAAAGCTTTTGGCGAAGAATTCATTGAACGCACTCATAGAATATATCACATTTTGTATGTTACAATGTCAGAATCAGACGGATAACTTCACATAGCGAAGTTTTTGGCGAAGTCACCACTGCAAGTCCTCATAATAAATCACACTTGTATGTCACAATGCCAGTATCAGACGAATGACGTCATAGAGGTACTCCGACCAATCACAGATAGACAAGTATAGAGCAAAACTTTTAGCGAAGCCCTCGTTGCAACTCATCTCTGAAATATTACGTTATCAACAGACCGAAGAAAGCGAATGGCTCGGAGAAAGGCCCCGCACGAGAGGGGGCCATCTGGCATTTCTATCACGGCGGCGTTTTGGGCTGGAGGGGCGTTCTGGGACGTCCTCTTTCGCGCTGGTCTTTGGGTCAAGCCGACCACGACGCCCGTTGTCTCGCGGCTACCTGGAACTGACAAGATTGATGGTCACCGCCGCCTCCCCCAGACGCACAGGAGTAGAGGGATGATCACGCTCCCTCGCGTTTCCTCATGGAATTCCAAAACAAATTTCCTCAGAGAGCTTCTTCACTGCATTTAATGACGTTTTTAATTAGGATCTGCCTTTGTTTAATTTAGACAAGAAGATGTACCTCCTGCCACCATCAAGGAAGGAGCTCGGTGTAAGGTACCCAGCCGTTGTTTTCTTGAAAGATGTCCAGGAATTGCGGCGTATATTAATATAATAAGATAATGCACTGCCGATGAAAATAAAGCTTTCTCATTATCGCATCTAGTTCGATTAGTTGTATAGGTCAGTGGAAGCTTTCCTGTTGTCGTTATATTTTTTTACGTTAATAAAGAGGGTAGTCTGCCATAAGGCGGTAAATTCTGCATTATTGCATCAAGTTAATTCAGTAGTATAGATCAGTGCTGCGAGTTTTTTTGCGTTCTTTTTTCCGGTACTAAAGCGGAGAGTCCACCGGGAGGAGGTAACTTTTATAATACTTCGGAATGCAAGGCGAGGGGCGCTAGGGTGTTTCTCGTGACCTGACAAGTTCTTGAAATGAGAGCTTAACTCCTCCCAGTAAATAGCCCCAAGAAGCATTTATCTCTTCGTTTCTTTTGGTTTGCAGTTTTTTCTTTAATTCAACGCTTAAAGGTTTATATATTCTATAAAAATATCGAGGAAAGAGCCACGTGATTCGGGTAAACTGGTGGAGTTTATACGAAAGATGTTGCTTCTGTGGGGAACTTCCGAACACATGTGAGTAGTTAAAAGTTCTACGTACGCTGATATATTGGAGGAGCGTACTGTGTCCTGTCCGGTGTCAATTTATGGACGGCTGCTTGATCAATGCGATTTCGCTACAGCCTGCCGCCGCTGCCGCTCCAACGGAAGATGCAAAGAATTAGAAACAGAAATCCAATCGTGCTTCCTGAGTCCGTCGCTAGAGGCGCGGTCGAGCGGCAATGTTGGAAATAACGCGTTACAACTTACAAATAACGACGTTACTTGTAGCACATTAGGTTTTTCAATAACGTTCTAACATGTAAAGTAGTTTCTTTACTCTTTTACGATATTGTTTTATCAAATTACGTTGCTCATTATTACTTAACGGTATTGTTTACTCACTTACGTTGCTCGCTACCTCTTTCCTTTTGATGGAAAATGCGTCACCTTTTCAATTCCCATTAAGATGTCAAGCGCCATCAAGAGTTAACAGTTC